GGCCTGTTGTGAGGTGTTATGGGGGAGCTGGGCCTGTTGTGGGGGAGCCGAGCCTGATGTGGGGTGTTGTGGGGGAGCCGGGCCTGATGTGGGGTGTTATGGGGGAGCTGGGCCTGATGTGGGGTGTTACAGGGGAGCTGGACCTGTTGTGGGGTGTTGTGGGGAACTGGACTTGGTATGGGGGAGCTGGGCCTGATGTGGGGTGTTGTGGGGAGTGGGACTGTGAGGAACAATGGGCCTAAGTTGACTGGTATAAGGGAAAACAGGACACAAGGAAAAGTTTTTTCTCCACAAGGACAGTCCAGCAGTGGCGCAGGGCCCAGAGAGGTTGTGCCATCTCCATCCTGGAGTTTCCCAAGACCCGACTGGCCAGAGCCCTGAGCGACCTGGTGGAGGCCAAGCTGCCCCTGCTCTGCGCTGGGGCTTGGACTGGGGACCTCCCGAGGACCTTCCCACCAGAACTAGGCTGTGATAGTGACAGGACTCAATATAAATTTAGATTTATTAAAGAAACCTCCAAATGTTTATGACAGAGAACATAAGCGCGAACCTGACAAGAATTTAAACAGAGGTATCTAATGAATAATTGTTTCCTCCTCTTCCCACGCATGCCTCAGCCACCGTTGGCGTGGGCACCTCAGGCGCTGCGTGACCGAGAACTGAGGTGACACAATGAACAAAAGCAGAATTGTTTTACCTTAGCCGAGAAAAATGCAGCAATTAAACGGCATATAGGACAGGTGAACTGAGTACTTGAAACCTTAAACATTTGAAGTGATGTGCGTAATGGAAGTATGGGATTCACACAACTCCCTGAACATCCTAGTGGTCTTCATAGCCAAGTGCTTTCGTGACTTTCACTGTTGCCTGCAGTTCATCTTCAAACCAGAGAAGAATTTGTGAAAGCTTTCTTGAACTTGTTTATGGATTTTTGTTACTCATGTGAATGCCAGGTCTCTCTTTTTATCTTTCTTTTTTCGAAAGCTTTTGACCTCAATAACAGGAGGTTAATTGTGCATTGCAGAGGATACTTCCTCTTAACTGATTTTCAATTTCGCTGTGTTTCAGTTTGGCTGAATGGTTTTTTTAAACCTGTGGTAGAAGTGGCTAAATAGGAACTGTTTTATAAATTGCAAAATAGGAATCTAACACGTCTGTTCATTATCTGTTCCTTTTGTTGTCAGTCTCCTTCACTGGAGTCTACAAACTGAGTCAGTTGGTCTTCTCTTTTGCTTGTATGGCAGATTCTGCAGGTTCCTGCATATTTTTATTCTGTCTAACTGTTGTTGTTATTGTAGTTAGTATTGTTGTTATTACATTATTGTTGTGGGGGTTTGGGGTTTTTTAAGATAGTGGTGATCTCTAGTTAACAGTTCCACTCATTTGTATATATGCAGCATAATATTTCCTGTTACTCCCTGTTTTGAAATTCCGCAGTATACTTGATCCGTCACAATTTATTCTGCTGTTATTTGTGTTTGAATTGTATTTTTTGAAAACAGACACTTTGGTTTGGGTAAATGCTGCAGTTTAACCAAATGCCTTCTTACTTCCTTGTCTTAGTCATTTGTGCCTTGTAGGCTCTATTATGCTTGCCTTAACAGTCTTTTCGGAAACAAAGGATTTTATTTTCTTCCCTTTAGTGTTTTAGTCTTCATTACTCTCCTAATTAAAAAAGTCCTTCCCAATGAGTAGCATCTCTCTTGAAGGTTTTTAGTAAGTTGCTACTTGCTTCTCCAGGAGATGGAAATGAATTACATGATAGTACTTTTACTTTGAAGTTATTTATAGAATTACTTCTTGAACCATTCTGGATTTGGAATCCTTTCTCTTTGCATTCTCTAGAGATCCTTTTTTTTTTTTTTTTTCCCCCTTCATGAAACACCACAACTTAAGATGTTCTGCAACCGTTAACTTTTTGCTTTAGGTGTAAAGGTAGGAAGTCTGTCTATTTGTAGTCATGTATTTAAATAGACCGTATCGGTGTCCCATGCAAACTGAATGTGTTTCAGAAGTCATTTTAAACTTTTGACGTAGTTAGAATCAGAATCTGAATATTGGTTGCTGTAAACAAGTGGTTTGTATGGTGTGCTAATAATTTCTAAGAATATTTTGGATTTCTCTTTGCTCATGTTCTTCTGTCCTCTTCCCCAGGCCTTGAAACAGCAGCAGCAAAAGCAACAGCAGCAGCAATGCAGAGCAGGCATGCCCGTGTCGTCTAATCAGCAGGTCCTTCTGAAGGCCGTCAAGGCAGCCAGTGACTCCACACCGGCAAAATCAGGTACGTGCAGTGACACTCCTTTGTGTTCTGGTACTGTCATGTCTCTTTAACTTGCCTTTTCTTGTTCTTAGGGAGTGAGAGAAGAAAATGCTCTTTCATGTGGCATTCTTTTTGTTTCTGAAATAGTCTAGCTTCTGTTTTCCTGGCTTTGATTTTATTAGGAATGCATTCAGTTAAGAATAGATCTTGAATAGATCTTACTGTGCCATTGTCTGGTTAAAAAGCTGCTTTCTGTGACAAATGTCTTTCCCTGTAGTTGCCTGTGCACTGTGGGCAGGTACTTCTCACAGCGAAGCACGTAAGGTGGTGTTTCTTTTAGTATTTATTCTTTTCCAAAGTGGCTTCTCATTCTGTAGTGTGGCTTTCATGTCTTGTTCCAAAGATGTACGTTCTGATCCGAAAGATCCCCAAGTGGTTTCCAGCATTTATGCTGCTGCAGAAATTACTGAGATCGCTGCACTTCTCTTGTTCATTCAGCAGTGCTTTAGCTCCCTTACCAGCAGCAGCATTTCAGTTATCATAAATTCTTGGTAGTTAGTTCTAGCTGGTTTTCTCTAAATTCTTTCCAGTGTAACTGATTTCCATTATAAGCTCCTGGTTCTGCGAGCACAACTCAAGTTGTTTTCTTCTAGATGCAACAAACGCCTCTGTGTTTGTATAGACTGATTTGCATGTTGTGCAAGGAAATGACTTTGTAGACTAATGCTGTCATTATTTTATCAATCCATGATTTGTCGAGTCATCTGTAAACATGACCAGTCGTGGCTCTGTACCATCTCCCAGATCACTGAGCACCAATTTGCTTTTGTTCGTCCTTATGGCAGAAATCGGAACAGCCTACGAAATGAAACACATTTGACCTGGTGACCTGTGTCGCACACTGCTGATAGCATGTGCGTTGACAAGTGTGTAAAAGCAGAGTAGGCTTGTAGTAGTGCTCAGGGACCTCCAGAGCAAGAGTCTTTGTATTTCATGGATTCAGTGGGATTTTCTCAGTGGATTTGCCTACCCTGGGGGATGGGAAAGTTGGCTTTGTAAATACCTTGTGGCAAACAACACACTGTAAAAACAACATCTTGTTTGTTTGTTTGTTTTGAGCCAGGCTCCTTGTACCTTTGTTTGATTCATTCTAATTATCAAACAGGCAATGAACAACTATTGTTTATTCAGCAACATCTTGCCACTTATGATTTTTGTGGACTTCTCTTTCTCAGTTTGAAGAGTCCTACTGTATTTTCTCATTCCTCATATGGAAAGCTATATGCTTTTTGCAATAGAGAATGAAACCTGTACACAGTGTGCAGATGCATTCTGGATCTGTGTAGCATCATTCTGGTATTCTATATTTTGTTCATCTTTTCTTAACAATTCCTAGCATTCAATTTATTTTTTTTTTACCCCACCATAATCAGGCATTTTCCTAGAACTGCTGAGATTCCAAGACTCTTTCCTGAGTTGTCATTTTCTATTTTAGGGCCTATCAGTACGTATGTAAGGTTAGGGGAGTTCTTCTTTTTGCACATCATTTCATGTTTCTGTACAGTGAATCATAGCTGTTCTTTTATCGCTCGGCCGTTCATTGTCATGAAGTCCTTCTGCAGCTGTAGTGGGGAGGGGGGGTGTTGGGACCTAAGAAATAAACAGGATTTCAGTACTCAGGGTTAGTATATGTGGTATGGAGCAAGGAGAGCAGTAGCACTGTGTACAAGAGGAAAAGAGGGCTGGCTTTTTGAGGCTGAGATCTCTTCCAAAAAGCAACGATCTCCTCCTCCGCTTCACAGTCCTTCTGATTCTGCTCCTGCTTCACTGTCTTCTGCAACACATATGCAGTCTCTAAGCTGTGTGTAATTCTGAAGGCCCTGCCCTTATACCCCATCTGTTACACTAATTACCATGGGTAAAATACTGAGCTATCTGTCAAACTCAGACACTTCTATGAGATGGAAATTCCCTTCCCCTCAGTAATTACCCTCTTTTTTCCATCCTTCACCCTTGATTTACTTGACTGCTCCTGATTCATCTCAGAAGGATGATGATCATGAAAATGTATCCGTTGAGGAAGACACAGCAAGCACGCTCACTCTGAGAGCCTTCTGTCAGGTGTTCTCTCACAGCTGGTGCAGCTGACACTGGCAGTCAGGAACCTTGCCCAAAAAAAGGGAGAGAAAGCAATCAGAACACAACAAAATCACACCTCCTATCCCAAATTCTAAGCTATTTTCACTCTTCTTAAAAACGACTTTTGGGTAAAGCCTGATAACATGGGGAATACTGAACTGTTACCTTGCAGAAAGAAAGTGTGCTTTTATTCTTCTTATAGCATCTATTAACCCAATTCCAGTCCCAGAACTCCTTCCCCTTCCAAAGTGTCAGTCCTTAGCCAACAAGCCTGTGCTTAGAACAACTGCATGTGGAGAAAGAAGTTGCATCTCTGCTACTGAGTCAGTCATTGCCAAAGCACTGGGCACAAGAACTGGAACTCAGTCAATCCGTTCTGCTAAATTCCCTGACATATCTTTGGCTCAGGACAAGCTAGCAGCCAATCCTTGGCACGGCTGGGCGTTTAGCACAGGCCAAACATTGTTCCTTGCAGGCAATCTGAACGTTGCCAACCCCGCCTGGGGAAGACAGAAAGCTGCAGGATTTAAACACGGCCAGTTTGTGCCTTCGGGTCAGGGGATACCCAATGTCACTATTCTGTTTACTGGTGTAGAAGTAGCAGAGAGGATTATTCAAGAGCCATAAGGCAATATTAGCATGAAAAACATTTTCCTCTTGCATATTCTCAGTGTAATTATGTGAATGTTTAGCTGAAATTCACTGGTCAGGTTAAGAAATTTGATATAGCCATTGGAAACTAGGCCTAGGAGTTCCCTTGAGAGCTCATCTAGTCCACATCCTTTCCTC